CCATGCTCCGCGCGGCTTTCCCGGATCTGCGCTGGACCCCCCTCCCTGGCGCGCGGAGCGCGGGCGCCGCCAGGGAGGGCCCGGCGCCCGCGCTCCGCGCGCCAGAGAGGAGGAGGAGGGAGGAGGAGGGAGGAGGAGGGAGGAGAAGAGGAGGAGGAGGAGGAGGAGGAGGAGGAGGAGGAGGAGGAGGAGGATGAGGGAGGGAGGAGGGAGGAGGGAGGAGGGAGGAGGGAGGAGGGAGGAGGAGAGGGAGGAGGGAGGAGAGGAGGAGGAGGAGGAGGAGGAGGAGGAGGAGGAGGAGGAGGAGGAGGAAAGGACCCGTGAGTGAGAGTACCCACGACGGTGCCGCCGAGGGGCGCTCCGCCCGCCTCGGCCGGCTGGCCCCCCCAGCGCAGGGCGGTGTCGAGCGACTGCGCCAGCTGCTCGCAGCGGAGCTCCGCGCAGCCGCGGCTGAAGGTCTGGAACAGGAGCTGCGCCAGCTTCTGCGAGGGGTGCGACGCCTCCAGGCGCCTGAGGGGCAGGGGCTCGGCCGAGGCAACGCTTCGATCGCTGTATGTAATTGGCGATATCTTCCTGTGCTGCTCTGGTGCTTGTTTTGTGTTGCTCTTTGATTGTTTGGTTTGTTGTTGCTTTGTTTGTGTGTCTGACTACTTCGGTAATTGCTTCGTTTTGAGTTTTCGCCCCGCATGGCATTCCGATTCAGGGCGAAGGCAGCCTGGATGGTGCCCCAAAGCAGCGTTTTGGCGCACATCTGCAGGAGTAGTGGCGACCCACCCCCACGATCGCCCCTAGAACGAGGACCATGGCGAGAGCGAAGCCACACCGAAAACTTCACACGAAGCTGCCCTGGACTCGGAGCAGGTCGAGTTGAGGCAACTACAACTCCACGTCGGTCCCCGGGACCCCTCCCGAGGTCCTCGCCCCTGGAACGAGGACCATGGCGAGAACGAAGCCACACCGAAAACTTCACACGAGGCTGCCCTGGACTCGGAGCAAGGCGAGTTGAGGCAAGTACCACTCCACGTCGGTCCCCGCGACCCCTCCCGAGGTCCCAACGCACAAGTTTCCCGAGCCGAGTCCAAGCCGTGGCGACGAGGCCTCCCTGGCAGGTCAGCTATCTCGTTGCCTCAACTCGCTTGCTTCTGGCACAAACAGCGCGTTGGTCGAGACCCCGGCCTGGCGGTGCACGCAATAGCCAGGCGGCGAAGCCTGGGCAGCCGGTGCCAGCGACGCAAGCAGAGGAGCATGCCCCGCGCCAGCGCCTGCGTGATCTCCGGGCTGCCCGCCGACTCGGCGTCCAGAGGCAGCTCGGCGTCAGTGCCAAAGCGGCCCAGCAGCTGGACAAGCCCCGCCGTCGGCGAGCTGCGGATCCACCCATGGCTCAGGGCCTGCTCCGCGGTCCACCGCTCGTGGATGTCGGGATTCATTAGCCTGGCGGTGCGATCGGCACGTGTACGGAAAGAATGGGAACGAAGACGAACAACAATTTCTATCCATTTTGAACAGGAATCGTTGTCGGAGTCGCCACGGACGTTGTCCGTTAAAGGCCAAAAAGCATCTGCCCAACAGCGGCCGCTGTCGGTTTTGGCCAAGTTTGGCTGTTGGGCATTGAACGGAATTCTTCCGTGCGCATTTCGGGCGTGCCGAGCCTGGTGATGAGGTCGACGGCGCCCTCGGACACGCCGCTCCAGACCTCCCCGGTAAAGTCCGGCGGGAGGCCCTGGCGGATCAAGTTGGGGTCGTCGCCGAAGGGCAGGTTGCCAGAGAGCATGACGTAGATCACCACGCCACAGCTCCAGAGATCTCCGGCGGCCAGCAGCTTGGTCTGCCCAGCCGCGCCCTGCACCAGGGAGCTCCACCGGTTCGCGAAGAGCTCGGGGGCCATGTACGGCACGCTGCCCCTCAGCGTGCCGTTGGCGTCGACGGTGCCCGGCGTCGGCGCTGGCTGCGTGAGCTTGAGCGGCCTGACTCGCGTGGCGATGCCAAAGTCCGCCAGCTTCAAGGTCATGCAGCTCTCGCCCTCGTCCTCCAGGAGGAAGTTCTCTGGCTTCACATCCCTGTGCACCACGCCGCGGCAGTGGCAGTACGCCAGCGCGCCGAACATCTGCTCGGCAAAGGCCCGGGCGACGGGCTCCTCCAGATGCCGCTCCTCGTACACTCGCGTGAACAGGTCGCCCCCGCGGCACAGCTCCATGAGCAGGAAGACGCAGCTGTCGTCCTCGTTCACCTCGTACAGGCGCACCACGTTCGGGTGGTCCAGCTGTCGCAGCATCTCGATCTCGCGGCGCAGCACCACGGCTTCCTGGTCGGCCTTTCGGAGGGCCTTGCAGGCGTAGAACTGCTCGCTCTGCTTGTGCTGAACGACGAAGACCGATCCACACCTGCCCTCCCCGACCATGTTCACCTAGAGGGCAACGATAAGGGGGGGTCACATCGGGGGGGGGGGGGGAAAGGTCGAGCTGGAATCGGCGATACATCGCCGATAGATCGGGAAAAGACGCGGAAGGAAAAGGGAAGAACACGGACGGAAACAAGAGGGACGCGGACACGGCAGGAAAAGGCAAGGAAACACATGTAAACGAGCGGAAAGAAGACATGGAACGAACATGGAAAAAAACGAACGGAAACAAGAGGAAAAGGGCACGGTCCTAGGCGGGGTGTCGTCTCGGGCGCCTGTCGGCCAGCGACCAATGGGCGATGGGGGGCCGATGCGTTCCCTCCGAGCCTGCCCTCCCCTGATGCTAGGTTGAGCCTGTCCTCCTACAGGGAGGTTCTAAGTGAAGCACTAAAGATACTCAAAACATACCCAAAATGGTCGACAAATGTTGGAGAAAATCGTCCCCCGACTATTTTTGAATATTCCTCCTGTAGGAAAACAAGACCGACTTAACCCTAATGTTGTCCCTGATCACCATGTTGTAGTCCTGGTACGTTTCCGAGAGCTGCCGGTGCCAGCATTGAACAACCACCTGCTGCGGGTCATAGAGCAGCTCCCCTGTCTTCAGGGGCTCCCGGCTCTTGTCCAGAGCCTCCTGGAGCTCCTGGGGGGGGGGCGCAACACAATCAGACGCCTTCGGGTCGCGAAACATGCGCGACGAAGGGATCATTAGGGACCGTCAACGCAATGACTCAGGCTGGAAGCCCGAGGCCCGAGGAATGAGTCGAGACCTCCGGGGGCACGCGTCGTGCTAGATCAATGCCGCCGGGGGTTTGGGGTGCCGATGCCGCTGCTCCCCGATACGCCTGGGCGCCGCCCAGGCGCCGCCTTGTCTGGCTGCCTGCCAGACCACCCCGACCCAACCCGAAGATCCGAATTTCGGGTTGGGGGGGCACGGGGCTCGCATGTATTTCTTCCATGTTCCCCGACGCCCCGCCCACTGGGAGCGGAGGGTAAGTTGGGGCCTAAGGGTTGGGTTGGGGTGGCTCGGTGGGTGGTGATTTTCCAATCAGTCTGGCTACCCCCTGGACCTCTCCCCAGGGCGCGCCCTGACCAAGCCTCCGAGGCGCACCCAGCCGTGGCGCTCAGGCCTTCCCAGGACGCCCGGAAACGGCGAGACGGGTCGGGGATCTACTCGCCCAGGTCAATCGAGACCAGGGTCAGTCAGGCTTGCTCTGCAGGAGCCTGCAAGAGGGGGGGTGCTGGGGGTAGGCAGCCCCGGCCCCAGATCTAATCGCCCTAATTTCGGCAAGTTTCTGCCCAAGATGGCCCAAGTCAGCCCCAAGAGCGCCTAAGAGGCCCCCAAGATGGCCCAAGACAGCCCCAAAAGCGCCCGAGATACCTCCAAGACCGCGTCGGAGAGGTCCGAGACAGCCCGAAGACGGCCTAAGAGAGCTCCGAGAGGGCCCGCCATGACTTCAAGACAGCCCACGCGGCCCCCAAGACGCCCCAAGAGGCCCACAAATGGGACCCCCAAGAGGCACAAATCGTCGCATTCCCGTGGACAAACTTGACTTTTTAGCAGATTCGCTCCTTTGGTCTTCACAGCGTGTACAACGGCCCAGGAGGACCCCAAGAACGCTCGAAGAAGGCCCCAGAGGCCCCCAAGACAGCCCAAATGGGCGTCACGACGGTCCAAGAGAGCCGCAAGATGGCCCAAGAGAGGCCCTCGAGGGCCCCAAAAGGTTCCCAAGAGAGCCCCAAGAGGGCCACAGGAGCCTCTCAAGGTGACCCAGGAGGGCCCCCAGAGGGCCCCGAGACGGTCCAAGCCCGCCAAGACGTCCCAAGAGGGTCCCGGGACGCCCCAAAAGGGCCCCAAGACGGCTCAAAAGAGGCCCACAAGGACCCCCTGGAAGGCCCGGAAATGCAGAAGTTGCTACGTTTTTGTATGTCGTACCGATGCCTCAACACCATCAGGGCTCGAAGACACCAATGAAGCCAGCGACTTTGCGACCTCACAAAATAAACGCGCTTTCCGTCCCCATGCCAAGCAGGTCTACTCACCCAGGTCAATCGAGACCAGGGTCAGTCATGGTTGCTCTGCAGGATCCGATAAAATCCTGCAGGACCCTGCAGGATCCTACAGGCAAGGCCCGGGCGGCCAATGCAGCCCTGGCTCTGCAAGATCCTGCAAAATCCGGCTCTCTGGCTGACCCCCGTTTGCATTGACCCCCGTCCCTTGAACCCGGAACTGGGGTAACCAAAAGGTACCGATACCGCTACCCCGTGGACCTCTCCCAGGGTGCGTTCTGCACAGAATTTCGAGGCGAATCCAGCGGTGGTAACGAGGGCCTCCAAGGAGGCCCCAAAAGGGGAAAACGGGCGAGGGGGCAGAGGGAGGTACGGGTACCTTTTCCTTCTCTGACGAACCAGGGGGGGAGGGGGGCAGCGGCACCAGTGTGCTTCTCTCACCCCCGGCGGCTCCTGCTGCATCGCCTGCTGCCAGGCCTCGTCCGAGGCGCCGCCCTCGAGCTCGCTGCCGTCCAGCGTGGCCCGCCTGGACGGCCGCCGGCTGCGCACGGACAGCGCGGACAGCAGCGGCTCGAAGTACTCCGAGGGCGCGTCGCTGACGCAGCTGCCCGGCATCTGCGGCGTGCAGGCCCACCTCTCGGCGGCGAGCGCGGGGGGGAAGCGAGAAGGAGGAGGCCTCCTCAGAGGGCGGCGGGGCTTCCCAGACAACATCCCCGGCCTCCTGAGAGAGGTCTCCTGTGCCTTCGGGGAAGGCTTATGAGGGACTTCCGCGTCTTCTGAAGAGGCCCGCCCCCTCTCGCTTCCCCCCTTTGCTCGCCGCCGAGCCTCGCCATCCGCGGCGTGATGGGGCTGGCGAGCTCCCGCAGGGGCACCGGGCCGGAAGCCCGCCTCTCGCTCCTCCTTGGAGGGGCAACGAGCTAACGGGAAGGCGCTGGCTCAGGGGGGGAGGTGTATCGACCCGGAATCGGCGACACATCGCCGATAGACCCGCGACGCGCCCCCGGTAGCGAAACCGCACTTTCCTGGGCGGGATGGGCTATCGGACCTCTATCGGCGATCAGTGGGCGATTGGGGGTGGAGCTCCCGAAGGTTGCCCCTGACTCCTGCGGTGCGGCGTGGTGATGGTGCTGGTGACGAAGCAGGCCTGTGGGCCGGGCCTGCTCCCGAGAAAGTCTGGAAGCTCCAGCCTCGGCAGGGAGGCAGAGCAGGGGCGCGCGCGGTGTGTCCCGCCCGGAAGGAACACCGAGCCAGGACTGGGACAACATCGGACAGGAACAAAGCGGGGGTCTGCGAGATCCTGCGGTTCTGGATGCTGTGCCGAGCGCCGTGGCCGTGCCAGACCGCTCTGGAACGCTCTGAGAGCGTTTTGAAACGCCCTGCAGCAATCTGCACTGGTTTTAACCCCGCCCGGGAAGGAAATGACGGGCCGCACGCATGATAGGGCGGTCATGGTCTGGTGATGGGAGGAGGAGGAGGAGGAGGAGGAGGAGGAGGAGGAGGAGGAGGAGGAGGGGAGAGAGGAGGAGGATGAGGAGGAAGGAGGGGAGGGGAAGGGGGGAGGAGGGGGAGGAGGAGGAAGGGATGAGAGGAGGAGAGGTAGGAGAGGAGGAGAGGGGGAGGGGGAGGGGAAGGGGGAGGGAGGAGGAGGGAGGAGGAGGAGGAACAAAGGGGGGGAGGAGGAGGAAGAGGAGGAGGAGGAGGAGGAGGGAGGAGGAGGAGGAGGAGGAGGAGGAGACCCTGCTCGACCTCGGCCTGCACCTGCGCGTGCCGCGCGGCGGCCTTCCCAAAGCAGGGCGGGGGCCTTCCGGGGAGCCGACGGGCACTCCACACCTCGTGCAACGCAGGCGCGCCAGGACCTCCTCTCTCTCCTCCTCCTCTCTCCTCCTCTCCTCCTCCTCCGCCTCATCCTCCTCCCCCGCCCTCCTCCTCCTCCGCCTCCTCCTCATCCTCCTCCCTCCTCCTCCTCCTCCTCCGCCTCCTCCTCCTCCGCTCTCCTCCTCCTTCCTCCGCTCCTCCTCCTCCCTCCGCCTCCTCCTCCTCCTCCTCCTCCTCCTCCCTCCTCCTCCTCCAGTCGCGGCGCGCCAGGACCCAGCTCCAGTCGGCCAGCACGAGGAGGTCTCCTTGAGGCCCCTTGGTTGTTCGAGGGGGCCCCAAAGGCTCAGACACATCCACACGCTAGACCCTCGACCGTCGTGCAAAAGAGCCTGCTCACCACAATCATCAGTACCATCCTCAGAATCACCACCATCGTCATCATGCCATCACTCCATCACTTTCTGCTTTCATCATCACAATCATCAGCATCATCATCACCATCAGCATCATCATCACCATCACCACCATCAACATCATCGCCATCGTCACGGTCATATCATCATCATCATCATCATCATCATCATCATCATCATCATCATCATCATAATCATAACCAACACTATCATTCTCATCATCGCCATCACCAACACCACCGTTATCAACACACCATCAATCTTATCAGCATCGCTATCGTCAGCATGATCACCACCGTCAATGTCACCGCCATCAACATCATATACTTGTCAACATCTGCACCGTCATCACCATCTCACTCATTATCGCCGTCATCATCATCAGCCGCAACAAACTTGTCATCGTCATCGCCGTCGTCATCATTAATAGCCACCACCATCACCAGCACCATCGCCATCATCATCCCCGTTGCCCGTATCATCCTCCTCCTCCTCCTTCTAGTGCTCCTCCCCCTCCTCCTTCGCCTCTTTCTCATCATGATCCTCCTCATCATCCTCATCCTCCTCATCATCTTCATCCTCCTCCTCATCATCATCATCATTCTCATCATCCCCAACGCCCTCATCATCAACGTCATCATCATTACCATCACCACCTCCATCATACTGCCTGGCTGGAGTCGCTCTCCAGTCATCGATGCCGTTACCCGCGCGGTGGGGTACAGAGACAACAAGGTCTGTCCGACCCGACCATCGGGCAACCGTTGCGGCTACATCGGGCGACCGCTGCGTCAGAGCCCATCAACATGCTGGTTACTCATCTCCTGTATACCTACCATACGCATGCGGTAATTATCGGCATCCACCTTCAATACAGGCGTCGCTGCAACGCCGGAGGAGGGGTTCCTGCTACGTACTGTCCTTGACTATTCTCGCCTCTTCCTTCCAAGAGGTGCGCATTAATCGCGCGCTGCGCTACTGCTTGGAGACCCACCTCCGCTGGCTGGGCTCCAGGTGTCCCTCGTGCGCTAGCGGCGTCGGCGCAAGGCCGTCAATGGGCTCCACATTTCCATCTGGTGTCGCTGTGCCAACAACGTTGTGTGATCTACCGCGTGGTTTCCTGGTGCACAGTCTCGCGCCCTCAAATTGGCTACCAGTGCATTGCGTCATATCGTTGTACTGTTTCGGGGTTTGTACTATCGAGCGGCATTTCATCAAGAAGCCCTTCGTCGGGGAGTGTTTCGTTGAGTGCTTCATCGTGGAGTGCTTCATCGTGGCGTGCCTGCTCGCGGCGTGCTTCACAGCGGTTTGCTTCATAGGGGATGCTGCTGGGTACGTTGTCGGGGCGTGCTACATCGTGGCGTGCACCACGGTGGCGTGCTTCATCAGGGAGCGGCGTGCTTCATCGTGGAGCGGTACGTTGTGGAGGGCTCCGTCGGGCTTCATCGTGGAAGGCTCCATCGTCGTCATCGGGGTGGCGCGCTTCATCAGGGAGGCGTACTTCATTGAAGGGGGTTTCCTGCCTGGAGGGCCTCATTGTGGCGTCTTTCCTCCGAAAGGCGTGCTTCAAGGTAGCGTGCATCGTCGTGGCGTGCTTCATGGAGGCATGTTTGGCGGAGGCTCGGCGTGCTTCATTGTGGCATGGTACATCGTGGGGGGGTTCTTCGGGGGTGCTGCATTGTGGCGTGTTTCATCGGAGGCGTGTTTCTCGAAGGCGTGCTTCACGGAGGCGTGCTTCTCGAAGGTGTGCTTCGTGTTGGCGTGCCTCAAGGAGGCTTTCTTCCCAGCGGCGTGCTTTGTTGCGGCGTGTTTCACCAGGGAGTGCTTCACCAATGAGTGTTTCACCAACGAGTGCTTCACAAACGAATGTTTCATCAAGGAATGCTTCACCAATGCGTGCTTCACCGAGGGATGCTTCCTGGGGAGTGATTCACCAAGAGGTGCTTTGACGTGGAGTGCGTCATCCTGGAGTGCTGCATCAGGAAATGTTGCGTGGACGGTTTCATTTTTTTTGAGCTCAACACTCCGCTGCCGCAGGATTCGAGCACTGGGGGCAGGGCCCAATGCAAGGCAGAGCCCTGGCGACCCTGCAGGCCTCAGAAGAGAACCGCTACAGTGGAACACGCCGATCTCCGCGACGAGCCCAAGCCTACACGGAACTATACAACGGCGTGGAGTGCTTCACCGTCGTGGGCGGCTTCATCGTGGCAGTCTTCATCGGGAAATTCGTCATCACGGGGAAGTTCCATCAGGCGTGCTTTATCGTGTCGTGCTTCATTGTGGCGTGCTTCTTGGAGGCGTGCTTCACTCAGGCGTGCCGCAGAAGGCGTGGTTCACGGAGGCGTGCTGCATCAAGTCCTTAATTGTCTGGGTGATGTCGTTCGGTGGGTCATCTCTGGAACCGCCTTGCCTCGTCCGTCCTCAAAGCCCAAACTGCCTGGCTGGACTCGCTGTCCAGTCACCGGTGACCGTCACACCCGCGCGTGCGGGGTGCAGACACAGCAAGGTGACGGTCACACCGCGCGGTCGCGGCTCTCCGTCAGAGCCCAACCGCGTGCTGGTTCTTCATCTGTGTTCACCATCACCACCGCTGTCACCACCATGATCATCACCAGCACCATGACGATCACCATAAGCATAAGCATACTGATAATCATTACCATCGCTACCACCATCACCATCACCATCACCAACATCACCTCCTCCCCCCCCTTCGCTCCCTTCCCCCCGACCTCCTCCCCTATTCCTTCCCTCCCGCGGCCCCCTGCCTCCGACGCGTCCCCCCTTCCTCCTCCTCCTCCTCCTCCTCCTCTTCCTCCTCGTCCTCCTCCTCCTCCTCCTCCTCCTCCTCGTCCTCGTCCTCGTCCTTCTCCTCCTCCTCCCCTCCTCCTCCTCTCCTCCTTCCTCCTCCTCCTCCTCCTCCTCCTCCTCCTCCTCCTCCCATCCTTCCCTTCCCCCTTCCCCCCCTCCCCTCTCTTCCCCTCCTTTCCCCCCCCCCTTCCTTCCGCCCCTCCGCCCCCCCCCTACCATTCCTCCGCCGCCTCCTCCCCCCCCCCCCCCCCCCCTCTTGCGGGCGGGCGGCGGGCCGCAGCCCTCCCCCCCCTCCCGCCCCCCCGAGGGCGCGGCTTGTTCCCCGAGTTGTCCGCGAACGGGCGCGAGGCCTCGCGGGCCGGGCGGCGGCCGCAGGGAGAGGGGTGCGGGAACGGATCGCGACAACCCCCCACGACCACTGCCAGCACGACCACCCCCAGCGGCGGCGCGACTTCCAGCACGACCGCCACCAGTGCGAACACCACTGCGACCTCCACCACCACGGTTACTGCCACTTCCTTTACGGCCCCCACGACCACCACCGCCCCCCGTTCCCCTCCCCCTCCGCCCTCTTCTCCTTGCCCCTGCCGGCCCGCCCCTGACGCAGAGCGCGTGGTTCGCGCCTGCCCACGTTCTCCTCCCCTTGCTGCTGCTCCGCCCCTCCGCCGCCTGCGCTGGGCGGTCGCGGAAAAGGCGCCCGCCACGCTGGATTGCGGCTTCGCACAGGGGCCCCGCCGCGAGCTGCCCCTGCCGGGGCCTCGTTGGGCCCCTGGTGCAGGTGGGGGTTCCTGCCCCCTTCCCCCTCTTCTGCAGAGGGAAGGGGGGGAGGAAGAAGGAGGGGTGAGGGGGGGCGAGAAGAGAAAGAGGGAATGGGAGAGAGGGGGTGGGGGAAGGGGCAGGAGGCTGAAGAGAGAATGGGGGACGGAGGGGAGGCTGTGTTACTTTGAAGCGGGATTGCCACTTCCAGCCCGCAGGCCGCAGCAGCCTCCGACACGTCAAGGAGGGGGGGGCGAATGGAAGGGGAAGGAGGAATGACGAGAGCAAAAGAGAGGAGGATAATGAGGGTTGACGATTGTGAAGATCATGGTTCGGATCTTGCAGATTTCGGCGATGGTCATGGTGGTGGTGATGGCCGTGGCGATATAACTTCCGGTGATGACGGTGCTGAGGCCTGGATTAGTGACGATGGAACTGAGGACGATGGGGTGGTGATGCTGCTGATGATGCTGATGTTGATGATGACGATGATGATGATGATAATGATGGTGATGATGACGGTGATGATGATGGCTATGATGATGATGATGCTGATGGTGATGGTGCTGATGATCGTGGCGGTGATGATGGTGCGGCCCTGGGAGCGCAGCCGGGACGGGATTGATCGGCGCACCATATCACGAACAGGTAGAATGAGATGACCCAGGGTTGCCTGACCGCTGAGCCCATGAATGCGCATCGGACCCCCATAGTGAAAAAGGGCAAACTGCTCAGGGCGGGCGCTACTGCCGCCCCCAGAGCACGCTGATTACCTGGAGTGCGACACTATGTACACAGGGCAGGCTAAGTGGGACGAACATGCCACCCATACTGGCACAACCATACAACATGGGAATTGTAGTTCTCAAGGGTGACCTTGCGCAACCGCTTGCTCCTTAACGGCTGTTGGAACTATTGCGGCCCATTCTTCGCAAGAGCGCACTTTACGAAGTGTTACCAGGCCACGCCGCGGAGGCAATCTAGTCAGCAATTGTCCCCGTCCCTCGACGAAATGCCGCATGGACAGCTAAGAAGCCCAGCTGTGCAAGGGGCTATACAAAAGGGTCAACTGACATGACGAAGACGTGATCTCAACCTGCACCAGGAAATCCACACGTCAAGGGACGAACGTGGAGGCCTCGATGTGCGCCTATTCGTTGGCGCGGACGCCACACGAGAGAAACGCAGAGCAGGTTTACGTAAGCAGCGCACACCTGGGACACGATCCGCGGACCAGGAACCATGGGGCCACGCCCTCAGCGGGTCGACTCTCGCCCCCGCGCGGAGACGTCCGCCAGGCTTCGAAACCTCCGGCGCAGAAGCGCCGAGCTCCTCAGGACACGCATCCTGCAGTCTGCCGGGGCCCTCCTCCCGGGCACGCGGGAGAACCCCCCCCTGCCAGCAGGTCCAGAGCGGCCGTAGGGTTGCGAGGTGGTGATAGGACACAGGGAGCGTGGAGAAGGTGGTGCGCGAGCAAGCTGTAATGGAGCCCGCCTGCGGCACAGCTGGAAGCATCGGGCAGCAGTTGGCCCCACTCGCCGTGCGTTTCAGGGGGGGAGAGAGAGAGAGAGAGAGAGGAAAACAAAAAGGAGAGAGAGAGACAGAGAGAGAGAGAGAGAGAGAAAGAGAGACAGAGACAGAGGCAGAGGCAGAGACAGAGACAGAGAGAGAAACAGAGAAAAAGAGAGAGAGAGAGGGAGGGAGAGAGAGAGAGAGAGAGAGATGGAGAAAGAGAGAGAGAGAGAGAGAAAGGTAGAGAGAGAGAGAGAGAAACAGAGAGAGAGAGAGAGAGAGAGAGAGAAAGAGAGAGAAAACAAATACCCTGTGACGTACCCAACCCATTTGTATCATGGGAAACGAGGAGTTGGCCGAAACTTGCATGGACAATCGAATTGCAGGATCCGTTGTTTGATCTGTAAGCTACTTGGGACGCGCGCCTGTGGCATGATGCGCGGGAGAACCATACAAGAACGAAGGGCGACAACTACAGGCTCGAAGAGGACATGGGGAGTCGGGAAAGAAGAGCAGCCACTGTGCTGGGCCCCCCTGCAGGCCTCGAAAGTGGCGACAGTTTCACAGATTGCAGCCCCCCAGGGATGGCGAGGTCTAATTTGAATCCGCGGTGACTACCCACTGTGCTGGGCCCCCCAGCAGGCCTCGAAAGTGGCGATCGTTTCACAGATCGCAACCCCCCAGGGATGACGAGGTATAATTTGAGTCTGCGGTGGGTACCCACTGTGCTGAGCCCCCCAGCAGGCCTCGAAAGTGGCGGCAGTTTCACAGATCGCAGCCCCCCAGGGATGGCGAGGTCTAATTTCAGTCCGCGGTGAGTACCCACTGTGCTGAGCCCCTTAGCAGCCCTCCAAAGTGGCGACAGTTTCACAGATCGCAGCCCCCCCCAGGGATGGCAAGGTCTAATCTGAGTCCGCGGTGTGTACCCACTGTGCTGGGCCCCCCAGCAGGCCTCGAAAGTGGCGACAGATTCACAGATCGCAGCCCCCCAGGGATGGCAAGGTCTAATCTGAGTCCGCGGTGTGTACCCACTGTGCTTGGGCCCCCCAGCAGGCCTCGAAAGTGGCGACAGATTCACATATCGCAGCCCCCCAGGGATGGCGAGGTCTAATTGGAGTCCGCGGTGTGTCCCCACTGCGCTGGGCCCCCCAGCAGGCCTCGAAAGTGGCGACCGTTTCACAGATCGCAGCCCCCCATGGATGGCGAGGTCAAACTTGAATCCGCCGTGTGCACCCACTGCGCTGGGCCCCCCAGCAGGCCTCGAAAGTGGCGACAGTTTCACAAATCGTAGCCCCCCAGGGATGGCGAGGTCTAATTTGAGCCCGAGGTGGGTACCCACTGTGCTGGGCCCCCCAGCAGGCCTCGAAACTGGCGACAGTTTCACAGATCGCAGCCCCCCAGGGATGGCGAGGTCTAATTTCAGTCCGCGGTGGGTACCCACTGCGTTGAGCCCCCCAGCAGGCCTCGAAAGTAACGACAGTTTCACAGATCGCAGCCCCCCAGGGATGGCGAGGTCTAATTTGAGTCCGCCGTGGGTACCCACTGTGCTGGGCCCCCCAGCAGCCTCGAAAGTGGCGACAGTTTCACAGATCGCAGCCCCCCAGGGATGGCGAGGTCTAATTTGAATCTGCGTGTGGCGTCACTGTGCTGGGCCCCCCAGCAGGCCTCGAAAGTGGCGACAGTTTCACAGATCGCAGCCCCCCAGGGATGGCGAGGTCCTAATTTGAATCCGCGCGTGGCCCCACTGTGCTGGGCCCCCCAGCAGGCCTCGAAAGTGGCGACAGTTTCACAGATCGCAGCCCCCCAGGGATGGCGAGGTCTAATTTGAATCTGCCCGTGGCGTCACTGTGCTGGGCCCCCCAGCAGGCCTCGAAAGTGGCGACAGATTCACAGATCGCAGCCCCCCAGGGATGGCGAGGTCTAATTTGAATCTGCCGTGGCCCTCACTGTGCTGGGCCCCCCAGCAGGCCTCGAAAGTGGCGACAGTTTCACAGATCGCAGCCCCCCAGGGATGGCGAGGTACAATTTCAATCCGCCGTGTGCCCACTGTGCTGGGCCCCCCAGCAGGCCTCGAAAGTGGCGACAGTTTCACAGATCGCAGCCCCCCAGGGATGGCGGGGTACAATTTCAATCCGCCGTGTGCACCCACTGTGCTGGGCCCCCCAGCAGGCCACGAAAGTGGCGACAGTTTCACAGATCGCAGCCCCCCAAGGATGGCGAGGTCCAATTTGAATCCGCCGTGTGTACCCACTGTGCTGGGCCCCCCCAGCAGGCCTCGAAAGTGGCGACAGTTTCACAGATCGCAGCTCCTCAGGGATGGCGAGGTACAGTTTCAATCCGCCGTGTGTGCCCACTGTGCTGGGCCCCCCAGCAGGCCTCGAAAGTGGCTACAGTTTCACAGATCGCAGCCCCCCAGGGATGGCGAGGTACAATTTCAGTCCGCCGTGTGTACCCACTGTGCTGGGCCCCCCGGCAGGCCTCGAATATGGCGACAGTTTCACAGATCGCAGCCCCCCAGGGATGGCGAGGTCAAATTTCAATCCGCCGTGCGTAGCCGCTGTGATGGGCCCCCCAGCAGGCCTCGAAAGTGGCGACAGTTTCACAGATCGCAGCCTCCCAGAGGGCACGCGGCGGCGCTCGGAGGAGCATCTCAGAGGGGCGCCGAGCAGCAGAGGGGGGATCGAGGAGGAAGCCTCCTCGATCCCCGAGGAGGAGGAGGAGGAGGAGGAGGAGCAGGAGGAGGAGAAGGAGGAGGAGGAGGAGGAGGAGGAGGCGAGGAGGGGGAGGACGGGGAGGAGGAGGAGGAGGAGAAGGCGAGGAGAGGGAGGGGAAGGAAGGCGGTCCCCTCCAACGTTGCCCCTGAGACTGGCCTCCTCCATGTGGTGGAGGAGCATCGAGAAGAGGGGGAGGATGGGTGCCTCCGAGGGAGGACAGCCGGCGTTTCGAGGAACAGGACAAGAAGGAAGAGTAGGGGAAGGATGAGGCGTCGTTATCTCCGTCGTCGTCCTCCTCCTTCTCCCCCTCCTGCTTCTCCTCCTCGTCGTTCTCGTCGTCCTCGTCCTCGTCCTCGTCCTCGTCCTCCTCCTCGTCCTCGTCGGCGTCGTCGGCGTCGTCGGCGTCGTCGTCCAACTCGTCCTCGTCCTCGTCCTCGTCGGCGCCGGCGTCGTCGTCGTCGTTCTCGTCCTCCTCCGAATCGTGGGGCTCCCGCGGCGGCCAGGGCAGGCGCGGCGCTCCTTGGGCGTCTCGTCGCACAGGGGGGGCGGCTCGCCGTTGGGGGCGTGCGGGGGCGCGGCGGCGTATGTCACCTTGGGCGGGGGGCGCCGCCTGCGCCCGTCCCCCGTAGGGCGACCGAATCTATACATATCCACTGCTCCCTGGCCAGGCACACCGTGAACCCAGCAGCAGTGTATACGCCACACCCTCCTGGCTGGGCCAGGAGGGCGTATACACAGCTCCTGGGTTCAGAGTGGGCCTGGCCAGGGAGCAGTGGGTATGTATAGACTTCGTCGCCCAACCCCGGCGGTCGCGCCGACCCTGGACGCTGGCGAGGGAGGGGGGGCAGAGGCCACCCAGATGGGGTCGGAGCGCGGTCAAACCCGTACAAGAAGGGCGCACGAGGAGGATGCAAAGGGCCTTGGCAACCCTGATAATAAGGGCACACGATGAGGATGCAAAGGCCTTGGAAGGCCGTGCTAACCCGTAGAACAGGACGCACGATAAGGATGTGAGGGCCTTGGAACGAAGACCATGTTGGCAGTTTGCGGGCGGGGCGCGACCAGCGAAAGCGGCCTAACCTTGGAAAGTCGATCATCCTGACTATATGCGGGTGAACTGCAGATGGGGTCGGAGGATCGCGAGCACGCGGGCAGCAACGCGGCGAAACCTCTTCACGCTCGGCAGTCGGATGAGTCCTCGTGTCCGCTCGTGCGCCCTGGCATCGCTCGGACGTTCATTCCCTGTGTTTTTGTTCGGTTTCGTGCGTGGCTTTTTCGCCAAATGATCAAGAATGCTCCTCGATGGCCCTCGCCGAAATGCACACGCCCGAGCGATGCCAAGGCGCTGCGTGGCTCTGACGGAGCTCCGCTGCGTGTCCGCCCCGTGGCCGCCGCGTGCCCGCCTCGTGCGAGGCGTGGGCCTGGCGTGGCCTCGCCCCGTGGCCGCCCGCGGCCACCCCCGTGGCCGCCTCCTCCTCCTCCTCCTCCTCCCTCCTCCTCCTCCTCCTCCTCCTCCTCCTCCCCCTCCTCCTCCCCCTCCTCCTCCTCCTCCCCCTCCTCCCCCTCCTCCTCCCGCTCCTCCTCCCCCTCCTCCTCCTCCCCCTCCTCCTCCGTGGCCGCCCGCGGCCACCCCCGTGGCGCGCAGCTCTCCACCTCCATGGTGTTGGAGGCCTGGAAATGGGCACCAACACCAACACAGGGGCTTGCCTCCACAGGGGGAGGAGGATCCTAGACTTCGGTGTTGGTGGCAATAGTTCGGTCACCTTGGAAGCCAGAGTATTACCACCATCGCCGAGATCGGGATGTTCTTCCCTCGGTGGAGGCACCTGTACCCCGCCGGTATTGGTGTTGATAAGCCTGCGAAACAACAGCAGCATCAGCAAGAGGACGCTTTGGCCGCCTGCTCCCGTGCCTTGATGCGCTCGGCGAGCGCCAACATCCCCGAGGTCGGGATGAGGTACACCGCCGATATTGGTGTTGGTGTCAATCTCCAGGCTTGCGACGGTGCAACTTGCTTGCGGCGTGGGGCCCTCGCCGGCCGACGCGAGGGCAGCAAGACGGACAGATGTTTGCAACTTCCGGCCTCGGGGGGGCTCCTCGGGGTTCGAGCTAAACAGTGTTTTTGTCCGTTTTCGTTCTGTGTTCGTCATCCCTAGTTTAGTAGGGCGACCGAATCTATACATATCCACTGCTCCCTGGCCAGGCACACCGTGAACCCAGCAGCAGTGTATACGCCACACCCTCCTGGCTGGGCCAGGAGGGCGTATACACAGCTCCTGGGTTCAGAGTGGGCCTGGCCAGGGAGCAGTGGATATGTATAGACTTCGTCGCCCAATAGTTCTGCCTTCGTTCCACATTGGCTGCAAAGCGAAACCAAAACGAACACGGTCCACGAAATGGCCAAAACACCGTTCAGCTCGAGCCCTGGGGCTCCTGCCGGGGCCTGGGGCAGCCGCGCACGACGCGGGACGGGGAGGCGGCCCTGGGGAAGGGGCCCGGACCTCCAGCGGTTCATGTGTTCCAAAAGTCACGACGTCTGAGAGCAGGGGGAGGAGGAGGAGGAGGAGGAGGAGGAGGAGGAGGAGGAAGAGGAGGAGGAGGAGGAGGAGGAGGAGGAGGAGGAGGAGGAGGAGGAGGAGGAGGAGGCACCAGAGAGGCAGCGGCAGAGAGTGAGGCACGCGGCACGCGACTCCAGAAGGAGGAGGAGAGGGGGGAGGTCCACGAAGCTGGGCACCTTCTCTTCTGCCATTTCCACTTGCACCTCTTGCTTCCGCACTTGCTGCTGCCTCAATGTTTTTTCACGGGCCGAGGTCGGCGTTTTTTTTTATCCTGGAGACAGCGTGATCCACCGCCGCTTTACTGTGGAAAATTCCCCCCCCCCCCCCCCCTCCTCCCCCCCTCTTCCTCCGGAACCTGGGGGCCTCCCCCCCCCTTCGAACATCCCCCCCGATGCTGGAACACCCCTCCCTCCCCCCCCCTTCCCCCAGCAAAACAACCCCCCCCCCTTAACCCCTCCCTCCCTCCCCCCCTCGGAAAACCGGGGGGGTCACTATCGGTTCGAACCCCCCGCCCCCCCTCCTCACCGCCGGCAAACGACTCCCGGGTCCCCACCACCCACCACCGTCCGCACCACATCCCCCACCGCTGTCCTCAGCACCACCGTCCCCGCCACCACTGTCCCCACTTTTCCCACCACCGTCCCCACTGTCTCCACCAGTGCCCCCACCACTGTCGCACCACTCTCCCCACTTTCCCCACGGTCCCCACCACTGTCCCACTGTCCCCACTGTCCCCACTGTCCCCACTGTCACACTGTCCCGGCTGTCCCCGCCGCTGTCCTACTGAGCTGTCCCACTGTTCCCACCACTGTCCCCACTGTTCCCACCACTGTCCCCACTGTACCCCTGTCCCATAGTCCCACCACCGTCCTCACCACCGCCCTCACCACTGTCCCCACCACCACCGTCCTCACCACCGCGTGTCCCCACGCCCCTGTCCCCATCACCACCGTCCCCGCCACTGTCCCACTGTCCCCACCACTGTCCCAGTGTCCCCACTGTTCTAACCATTGTCCCAGCTGTCCCCACCAGTGCCCCCACCAGTGTCTCACTGTCCCCACTGTCACCACCATTGTCCCACCACGGTCCCACTCTCCCCATTGTCCCCAGTCCCCACCACTGCCACACTGTCCCCACTGTCCCCGCCGCTGACCAACTGTGCTGTCCCACTGTCCCCAGTCCCCACCACTGTCCCAGTGTCCCCACTGTCCCCACCACTCTCCCCACTGTACCACTGTCCCACCACCGTCCTCACCACCGCCCTCACCACTGTCCCCACCACTGCCGTCCCTACCACTGTCCCACTGTCCCCTCTGTCCCCGCCACTGTCCCGCTGTCCCCTCAACACTGTCCCCACCACCACCGTCCCCACCGCTGTCCCACTGTCCCCACAGCACTGTCCCCACCACCACCGTCCTCACCACTGTCCCAGTGTCCCCGCCACTGTCTTACTGTCCCGAGGAGCGGGAATCATTTGCCAGCGGCGAAGGGGGGGGAGGGTTCGAACTGGAAGTGCCCCCCTCCCCCTTTTCATGATGGACAGGGGGGGTGGGGGGGCTCGAACTGGTAGCGGTGACCCCCCTCGGTTTTCGAAAGGGGGGGGGGACGGGTTGGGTTTTCCACCAGCAGCGATAGAACACGCTTTTTCCTATTGAGGCCCCTCTGTACTGACACGACGCTGCAAGCATAGCACTTAATGTCCGCCCAACGCAACGTAGGTCCCCGAAACCACTCCACCTCGCTGGCCCGCTCTGCTGCTAGCCAGCTGGCCCGCTCAGTGGCCTGACGAAGCGCCGCGCGGCCGAGGCCCCCCGGAGGAAACTTCTCACTTTCCCTGTCCAACCTCCGTCAGCGCGGGCGCGTCTGGTAGAGACAAACGCCCGACATCGCCTAGGCGTTCAGGCTCCTCCCTCCCCAACCCTCCACCAAGTATCCCGTTCCGCGCAGATATACATTATGCACATTACTTTCCTGTCTCCTTTGATTCTGTCCAGCAGATGCTCCGCCCTCTCCGACTGCTTTTTACACAGACCTGTACAACAACAATTGTCGTTCTGATGGTTTTCACAATCCGACTGCTCTCGGTCAAACTAGTGATCCCGCCGCAGCGTGGGACTCATTTCCGGATCGGCGCTTTGCTCGGGCCGTTCAAAATGGCGCTCGCGCCCCAGCTTGGGCACCTCGACTGGGTCCGAATCCTTCATCATCGTTGTCGCCCCCCTCCTTTCTCATCCTCCGTCTTTCCTTGGTCTTTCTGCTCGTCCCGCTCCTTCCGCTCCAATTCCCGATGCTGCTGTTCGTCCTAGGCGTCCTCTCTCTTCCTGACCAACTCTTGTTCCTCCTGATCATCTTCCTGCTCACCCGCCACCTCCTCCTCGTCGTCCTCCTCGTCCTCGTCCTCGTCCTCCTCCAGCTCTTCGTCCTCCTCCTCCTCCTCCTCTTCCTCCTCCTCCTCCTCCTCCTCCTCCTCCTCCTCCTCCTCCTGTGTGCGCAGCCTCCCTTCCCGAACTCGCCTGGCACGATACGGTCTTTTCTGGAATGTTAGGTCTGCTATGACACGCGTCCGCGGATAGAGAACACATCGGCACAATTGAAAGCGACGGGATGGAATGATCAGACGCCAGATATGGCGCGATGGCACCTAGCTTGCCACTGTCCTGTCTCCCCGTTCCTGCGCCGTCCATGGCGAATGCTGGTGCTCCAAGAAAAGATGGGGCCCTGATGGCTAGGGTCACAAAGGCGAAGGACCTCAAACAATGCAAATCCGGCCTGGGGCCCATTTTTGCACCGCCGAGAAAAAAACAGGCCCAAGAGGAGGATGAGGAGGGAAAGGAGGAGGAGGCGGAGGGGGAGGAGGAGGAAAAGGAGGAGGAAAACGAGGAGGAGGAGGAGGAGGCGGAGGAGGAGGAGGAGGAGGAGGAGGAGGGAGGGGATGGCTGCGCCCAGGAGAACTCCGACGCCACCAGCACAGCGACAGGAGGGAAACCCCATATTCCTCGTTCCCTCCTCGAACCTGATCTCATCGGTGTAAGCTAACAGGCGAGTTGATACAACGACACGGGCGGTATGCCTGAGGCTGACTCGCCCCTTGCGATCCTCATATGTGAACGTACCAAACATACATGCGGATGGATAGCGGGTAAAATTCGAAATGGTTCCCGCCGGCGTCTGTGGCACCCTCGGGGAAAAAAGGCGGGTGAAACATCGCAGTTTGAAGCAACCACATGGATGACCTGCGCGCACTGTGTAACATCTAGCTCTCGTGTCATACCACTTCCTCGCAGCTCATGCCTCTGACGCTTGGCTTTCTTCGACAGCTACACACATGGATGGATGGCATTCGCTAGCGTGATCCAATTTTCGCAGGGTAGCTCCTTTCAACACACGGCCTTCGGAACCTGAACCCCCAAACGCTGCGCGGATCGACTGATCATTATTTTCTTCGTCGAAATGTACGTCCGAAGTTTTTCTCAGAGCCAGCAATCCTTAAACTTCTACGCGCTGAAACTTCTGCACCCACGCGGATGGATAACGCCAGCTCTTTTCCAACATCGCGCTGTCGCTTGGGCTCCGCGCGCGTCCCCCCTGCAGTCTCCGCCGCCAACATGGGCGCCCGTGCAGCCTGCAGAAGAAGCCCCCGTTGGCCCGGATTGACAGCCTGGTGTGGTTCTCCCTGTTCCGGTCCTGCCGCTTCCCGTGGCGCGGCCACTGGCGGAGGAACCCCGAAACCTCACAAGCTTTCCTGTGGGGGGTCTGGGGCGAGACTGTAGCTCCAATTCCCGTGGCGCGCGCACACACAAGTGACAACACCACGGGAGCACTATCCTCCCTTACTTCCCGGAACGCCCGCGCGGCCCTTTTTGCACGCGTGCGCGCGCTTCAGAGCCAGGTCAGACCCAAGCTGTGGCGTACTGCGGGGGGCCTGCGCATCATCACTCCAGCCCTCCCGTGCCCCCGAACCTGTGGCAGGGCCCTCGGGGAACCTCCCGCCCCGTCCAGCAGAGGCCTCGCCGCAGTAAGCAGGAATGCTTGCACCGACTGGTGAGGAAAGGGTGCGTGTCGCACAACCAGTGTGAGGGGCAACGTCACGGGGGACCGACGACTCAGGGGTAGAAGCATCGACCTGGAATCGGCAATACATCGCCGATAGAGCGGCGATAAGGCCCCCGATAGCAAATCTGCGCGTTCAAGGGTGAACTATCGGGCCCCTTTATCGGCGATGAGAAGGCGACCAGGGGTTGATGACCATGCCCCTCCCCCGGAGCATCTCTTCTCCGAACGTTGCCCCTGATCGCCGTAGCGAACAAGAATGCCTGCACTGGCTGATGGGGAAGGCGCCATTGCTTGGACGTCCATTCCCCGTGCACTTGTTCTGGTTTCGTGCGTGCTCTTTTCCGTAGGATAGCCCACGATAGTCCTCGATGGTCCTGGCCGAGAGAAACTGCGCACGTCCGAGCGATGCCAAGCAGGGGGCGTGTCGCAGCACAGCTGCGCGTGCTGGGACCTCCGCCCCCTCATCGCCGCCGCCGCCGCCGCCGTCACTGGCCTCGGTGTCGCCGCCGCCGCTTCCGCGCTGCTGACGACGTCGACGCTGTCGTCGTCGTCGTCGCTGAGGCCGCCGCCGCCGTCGCCAGCGGCCGCCTGCTTGCGGGCGGCCACGCCCTCCGCCGCCACTCCTGCCGGCGCCGCGGGCTCCTCCTGGCGGCTGGCGACCCCAGGCAGCGCCGCCGAGCGCGCCCCGGCCCCCTCCTGCGGGGGCGGAGGACGTCGTAGCCGCCGTCGTCGCCGTCGTCGTCGTCGTCGTCGTCGTCGTCGTCGTCGTCGTCGTCGTCGTTGTCGTCGGCGTCGTCTTCGTTGTCGTCGTCGTCGTCCCCTCCTCCGCTCCGTGACCCCCCGCGCCAGCGGGGGAAGGGCTGAGGAAGAGGAGGTTCCAGGATCGCCCGGACACGGCCAAAGAGGCCTCCAAGAGCGCCCCAAGACGGCCCCCGAAGGCCCCAAGACAGCCCCGGAGGTCCCTCCAAGATGGCCGAAGAGGCCCCCGAGACGGCTCCAAGAGCGGGCCCTAGCGGGCGACCCGAGCGGACATTTCGAGCTCTGGGCGCAGAGAGGTCCCCTGGAGGCCCCAAGAGGCTCGAAAGCAAGAGGCCTCCGAGAGGCCCCAAGAGGTCCCCAAGAGGCCCCGCGACGCCCCAGGAGGTCCGAGAAATACCGCCAGGAGGCCCCCAAAAAAGGCTCCAAGAGGCCCCCAAGCGGCCTCCAACTGCCACGAACGCGAAGGCAAACGCCTGCGATGGCAGAATACGGGCCAGCGGAATGAGCGAAGCGATTTAAACGTATAACATGTTGTATCTAGATGGACGCATCAACACACTGTATCTTATGCGTTTGCCTGGTCCTTCACTTGGGTTTCAAATGCGCCCCCAAGCCTTCGTACATTGTGGGCAGCCATCTGCATCCCATCGGTGCCGCGCGGGGGGACACCGAACTGTGTCTTTGTGTGCGCGGGTGCGTCTTCCATGAGCGCAATGCCGATCTGTCTCCGGACAGCCGAGCCCTTCGCACGAGCCCCCAAACAAACCTGGACGACTGTCCAAGAGCGAGTAGATGCGAAGGGAATTACAATGTGTGCGCCTCCCGCCGACCCCTGCTTCTCCACATGTTCCTCTGCCTCCTCCTTCTTCTTGCCTCTCATCCTTCCCAGCGTCTTCCCTGGCCTCTGCACGCTCTTGCCAGGCATCGCTTCGCATCACGTGGCCGCAGCCGCTCCTTCGGGGAAGGCACGCCCAGAAACCCGAAGAACAGGGATCCTTGGAACGTCCCCCCCACCCCTCCCCATCAGGGACCAAGAAAAAGGAGGAGGAGGAGGAGGAGGAGGAGGAGGAAGAAGAATATGGCGAATGAAAAGAATAAGAAAAAGAAAAGACTCGGCATTGCGCGTGGTCTCGTGTCGCGCAGAACGGGCATCGGGCAAGCATGAAACCTGCAAACTTCTCGAAGGTCGAAAACACTCGGATTCTCGAGGTCGGAACGTGCGCGCACCGTGCAGCTCGAACCGGGCGATTCGGCCGATGCAAATCGACTCAGTCCCCACGGGCTGGGGGTGCTTCCCTTCGGGCTTCGCCGAGGCCGAGCCCAGCGACGCTGTAGGCGTCGGGCAGGCACCCGAAGCACCCGCCGAGCCCGGGAAACACCATTAAATAACCAAGAAGCCCCTGGGCCAAACATTCGGACAGGAAGGCCCAGGGCCAGCCCCCTGGGAAGACACTCGGCTCGGCCGAGCCCCCACTCGGGGAAGGTAGGCCCCCTTCGACCGTGGATCTCCCGCGCGGCGGGCCCTTCGGACGAGCATTGCTGGGGGGGAGGAGGCCGAGGCATGCCGCGGTCGATCGCAAGGCCTGTATGAAGTCGTCCAGGGCCTGGTTCCCGACTCCAGTAACCGATCGGCGCACCCGAGCAGCGTGTCCACGGTGAACCCCGACGCTGTATGGGCAGCTGCCGACGGTTGCCCCCGACGCTTGCCGACGGCGCCGGCGGCGGCCCCCGACGGTGCCACGGGTGACCCCCGACGTTTGCCAACGGTGACACCCGACGGTGATCTGAGAAAAACAACCTGCACCTTCCGAGCCACAAAACACATCTGACTTGGTAGTGACAGGGCAGTGAACAGCTGTGACCCTAGCGGAGCCGCGGTGTTGAGCTCCTGTATGATACCATGCATCTTATGCCTAGAATCGTCGGTGGTGTGTCGGTACAGTAGTGGGACGTCACAGCAGCTGCATTACTCCGAAGATCGTGTCAGGACTCTGTCCAGTTCTGCGAGTGAGGTTACTGATCGCGAGCACTGAGTCAAACCACGAAGACTAATCGGAAGGCGCCGTCCGTCATCGCAAGAATTCAGTCAGCATTGGAAATCTGAAGATATGCATGGACACACCAAACAACATCTCGACACAACTTATCCGAGTGCCTCTCGAGCCCGAATTCTGTCACGCAGTGCCGTCCACCACATCTCCCAGGATTCAGTTACTTGTTCTTGCCCTTCCCCTTGGATGTTTTCGAACGGTCCAACAACTTCTGCGCCAGAGATTCGAGGTGCTCTTGTGGGGCGGTGCCCATCTTGAGTTTGCCTCCGGGAGCCTCCAGCGCGAGAGTCGCGCCCTGTTCTACCTCGAGCTTCGAGAAGTTAAGATCCCTCTCGCCCGCGCCCGTGTCCTCTCTCTCCCCCCGAAGCGCGATCTGGTCCACGATCGCGAACTGGAAACGACAGAACTGGCCGCTGTTGCACGTCTTATGCCGAAAGTGCCGGATCATCGAGCCTAGCTCCTTCAATCCCGACTGGGAGGTGAACTGCCCGTGGGACATTGTCAACAGTTGATGTGGCTCCATCTGCGCCTCGACCGCCTCTGCCTCCGCGAGAGACTTACGCGCGGCTCGCGCGATGTGCAAATGAGGGTGCCCCCAAAAAAAAGTTTCGCCGCTGCGATGTGCGCGGCCTCTGCAAAGAGCTTGCCAGCTCTGCGCCCCGCCTCCGCCGCCGGCGAGTTCGCGGGGGTGGTTGCGCTGGTCCACTCCGACGCCGCCAGGTCAGCTGCTGCGGGTGCTGGGCGCCATCTTGAGACGGGCGTGTCTGGCGTGCTGTAGGTCGCGGGCCTTGAGAGCTCCCTCGACCGCCTGGATGGCGCCCTCCGCGGCGTCTGCCATCTTTGCCACTCCCACGCGGTGCTTCTTGCCCGTTGGTCCGTCCCCTGTGGCTTCGTCGCCCTCTCCCTCTTGACTGCCTACCAGACCACCCCAACCCAACCCGAAGACCCGAATTTCGGGTTGGGGGTGGTAAGGGTTCCACATGTGTATTTTTCGATGTTTCCCGACCCCCCCCCACTGGAAATCGATGGTAAATCTGAGCCTTCGGGTTGGGTTGGGGTGGTCTGGTGGGTGGTGACCGCTGGCCTTTGCCAATTGAGATGCGCTGAGAAGGCCATCTCCTGCCGCGTCAGCACCGCGGCATTGCGCGTCGTCCCCGGCAGTCTCGGGCGCGAAGGAGAGGGCCGCGCGCAGCGCGTGCGGAGGCGAAGCTGGATCGCCACGAGCGCTCGAGCAGAGAAGCCGCACGGGGGGCGAGAAAATCGGTCGGGGATCTGAACATCGCGCTGCAAGGGGGAACTCCTAACCATCGTGCAACATCCCGTCGCGAAGCTCCTCATCGCGCGCCGTTGTGCGTCCTGCTTCGCGCGCAAAGCCTGGAGACACCTAAAACGCTGGTTCGTGACCGTGAGCAGGGCGGCCTTGCCTCGGGCACCGTAAACTCTGCCCGCGCGCAGTAGCAGTGTCTTCGTCGTCGAGAACCGTGCCCCGCATGCGTGCCCGTGGTCGCCCCTCATCCTGCGCTCGCGGTTCTTCCCGCTACCCATCCCCCCCCCCCCCCTTCCTGGCCAACTCCTCGGGGCGCGGCGGCGTAGCTAGGCGGCGCAATGCGCTGAAAAGGCAGCTCGCAGGAACGAGGAGTCAACGAAGGCCCAGTCTCGGCAGTCATCCGCGCAGCGCATTTTGAAACGCGGGAGATCGTCGGGGGCCAAGTCCCAGAATTCTCCGAACCTCTCGAAGGCGAGCTGGAGGTCCTTAAGGAGCTGTCGGGCCCGCGGGTTCGCGTATGGATGCAGGGCGTTGCCCTCGCGAAGCGAGTCGTCGTCGCCGCGGCCCCCGAGGATGTAAGCCCTTGCTTGTCCGTGATCTGCGGGCTGCCGACGCCTGCGCTGGCGCCGCCTCAATCGGCGGATGCGGCGCTCTTCTGACGCGGGTAGGATGCTCCAGTGTCGTCGCATCTGGTCGGCAGACCAGCGACGCACTCCCCCCTCGCTCGCGTGGACTAAGCCTTGCTTGCCCGCGGCACGTCGAAGCGCCCGATGAATGATGCCGTCGGACTCCGGTTGGAAGGTGGCGTCGAGGACCCTGCCCCCAAGGCCCGACAGCGAGGCCCCCCCAGGCGAAGGGGAATACGGCCATGCGTTTGATACCCCAGGGGGCCTCGTTGACTAGGAAGTTAGATGTATGCCCCAGACCGACGCGCCCCGCCGGGAACCTCTGTGCTTTCTCGGTAGCCAAGGGCCCCGCGGTAACGAGCCACCCCCCCAGGGTGCGCAGGTGCCTGCCGACCACTCCCGAGTAAGGTACATTGCCTCCGTGGTCCCCGAAAACGCGGACCAGGGGCGGCCTCCGAGAGAAGGTGGGTTGCGCGCTCCAGGGGGGCCGACGGCGACGGACTCGTCTCCGCGATGACCGACTTGGTAGTGTCGTCGGCGTAGATCGTAATACCTGCATCCGCAATCTCCCCATTCACCTCCAAAGCCGCCGAAGCCGCCAGGAACGCGTCGATGCCCCCGGTTAAAATAAGGAAACGCCCGAGCTGGATTCGGATGGCCCATGAACTCCCCCAACGTCGGCCTAAGACAGATCGGGCCCTCGCGAGACTCAACCTGCAGGGCCCCCAGGATGGTGCGCGAATGCTGGAAATGGGCGTCCTCTGGGCGGTAGAGGGAATCTATCAATTCATAGATGACCTCTCTTCTGTGCTGGCGAACGCATTCGTCGCGTCCTCGTTTGCAATCGTACGAGACAGCCCCTGTCGTTGCAATCTATAGGAGCTGCATGCTTGCACTGTAATCGCATCCTCTCGTCGTCGGCGCCGCGCAAGTCCGCGACAGTAGCGCGGAAGACGCTCTCGCCCACGATGCCGCAAACATGCGTTCCAGCTCTTCCCGGTTGGACAAAACAGATGAAGCCACCGCTGCCCTGCTGGCCCGAAGCGCCCGCTCCCCTCGTCCAGGCCCAGGCGCGAAGACGCGTCGAAAATCCAAGCTGTGGAGCGAGCTCCACGGAAACAGGCGACGATGTCAATGAACCGTTCGTTGATCCCCTGGTATGCGTCTGGAACCTGCGAGCTGCCGACCCCTCCTCTCTGGAACCTCTGCGATTGCTCTGGGCCCTGAAGAAATAGCCGCAGCTCCGATGGCAAGGTCCAAGCTGGAGTCGACCGTCTCTTCCAAACCGGTCCCAACTCGCGGATGATCCCCTCCAAATCTTGGCCCGCTTGCTCCAGGTCGCAGTTCTGCATGGTAGTGTATCTGACCTCATCCGTGCGTTGGAGCTCCTCCCCATCAAATAAAGGGTCGGCCGGAATCGTTCCAGAAGCTCTTGTAACAGGTCCAGAAGCTCCTGAAACTGCTGGTTGTTTTGTGCGCCTGGCGATGTCAAGTGGTTCGCATTGCTCGTCTCGTGCAGTGAAATAGCGTCTCTGCCGTGGTCCCCGTCGCCTCCGTGTGGGCGTCCTAACAGCTTCTGAACCAAGTCGTGGTCGTGGTTCGACCATGCCTCGTTGAGCTGCTGTGTGATAGCGCTGTTTGTCTGTGCTGTGATCTCTCGTGACAAACGTCGTATGCGAAAAACAAGTCTGGCCAGTTCCGTCTCCACGTCCAGTTGTGAATCGTCCTGTGTACCCACATGTGCCCCGCGAAATTGTCGCCGAGGTGATGCTGCATTGCGTTGTCGCAAGAAATGCTCCTTCGCCGCGTTGGCCAGAGTGGGGCCCGTAGCGTTCCACAGCTCGATGCAGGTAGGACGAGCGCACATGCGCATCCACTCGGCCTCTGGGAAATCCAGGCTGGACTGGTGGACTGCCTCGACGATGTTGGAGCAGGACTCGGTGCCGCATAGTTTGGCCATTCTGAGGTCATGGTCCCAGGACTGGCGTGGCTAGTGGTGCGCCTCGAAGATGTAGTCGAGCTCCGCCATCAACGGTCGGTGGTCGCGGTCGTCGAAAGTGTTGATGGGCTGGAGGCGTCGCCCCGCTTCCGCCAGCGACTTGCAGTGGCAGGCCCTGGGACGTAACGCCGCCGGTGCGTGGATGAAGTCGATACGGCTGCTGTGACCATGCGTTCCGAAAGTGGGTCCCGCACTGTGAAAAGGTGTCCAGAACGCACATGTCGGTATCGATCAGCAGCTGGTGCCACAGTCGTCCCGCCAGGCTTTCTTCCTCCGCGTCAGTCGTGCCAACGGATACATCCTCGAACTCGTAAAGGTCGTGCTGGTTATGTGTTGATGCTGCTGGTTGTGGTTGTTCGCTTTGGGACAAGAAACCAAAACGATCGTTCTAGCAAATGCCTATGAAAAAAAGGTGTGCGACGTGTGCCTGCCGATCCCACAACTTATCGTGCCCATGCCACCTGACGTTTTATGGTAGTGCGGTATTCCGCGCGTCCCACTCTGCCAGCAGGATAGAGCGGAAAGAAAATCGCCATCATAAGTATGTCCGAAGTAGACGTCTTGAGCCGTACAACTCCCCATCGGCCTGCCAATCTGGGTGGTGGCGAATAAATCCGTCGCAGGTTGCGAGGCAGGCGTCGGTTGTGCATGAACATGCTTGTCCATTTGTTCGATGCACGGATCCATCCGAAAGACACGTCCCAGTAATGCGGATGTAAACAGAGCTGGTGTTCACATTCTCCACGTTGCCGACCCGTACCAGGTGTCATGATCGCGTGCATGTTGCGAAATTATTGTGGTATTCTTGTCCCCCGTGTAGCTCCCGTCAAGTACACAGGATTGCAAGTACAGAAGCGCATGCTCAATCTCGGACTAGGGGTGGCCGCCGCCGAGTCTGTCGATGCTGAAGGAATGTCGGAGGGGCCGCCCACGGCGAGAAGCCGACGACCACTCGGGAGCGGTTGTCCCTCTCACCATGCGCCCGGCGGGCCCCGCAGGGAAGAGACGAAGAAAGGACATTGGGCTGCTCCTCTGGCGAGTGTCCTGGGGGGTACCGTCGGCCGCGGCGGATGTGTCTGGTGGGCCGCGGCGGCGCCGGCTGGAGGAGGAGGGGGAGGAGCAGGAGGAGGAGGAGGAGGAGGAGGAGGAGGAGGAGCAGTAGGCGGAGGAGGAGAAGGAGGGAGGAGGAGGGAGGAGGAGGAGGAGGAGAGGAGGAGGGAGGAGGAGGAGGAGGAGGGAGGGAGGAGGAGGAGGAGGAGGAGGAGAAGCGTCAGTAGCCTGAGAAGAGGAGGAGGAGAGGAGGAGGAGGAGGAGGAGGATGAGAGGAGGAGGAGAGGAGGAGGAGGAAGGAGGAGGAGGAGGAGGAGGAGGAGGAGGAGGGGCCCCTCACCCCGTTATGCAGAGAGGCGGAGCTACCAAGCCCGCAGGAGCGCTCCTGGCGGCTGGCGACTCCGGGCAGGGCTGGCGCCGCACCGCCCGCCGCCGCCTCCTCCTGTCGGGCGCAGAGAACGCAGAGAAGGGGGCGAAGAGAGGTGCTCCTTTCGTGCACCTTCGGGGCTCCTCCTCCTCCTCCTCCTCCTCCTATGTCCTTCTGATCCTCCTCCCTCCTCCTCCTCCTCCTCTCCTCCTCCTCCTCCTCCTCCTCCCTCCTCCCCCTCCTCCTCTTCTCCTTCCTCCTCCTCCTCCTCCTCCTCCTCCTCCCCTCCTCCTCCCCCCTCCTCCTCCTCCTCCTTCCTCCTCCTCCTCCTCCTCCTCCTCCTCCTCCTCCTCCTCCTCCTCCTCCTCCTCCTCCTCCTCCTCCTCCTCCTCCTCCTCCCTCCTCCTCCTCCTCCTCCTCCTCCTCCTCCTCCGCCTCCTCCTCTCCTCCTCCTCCCTCCTCCTCCTCCTACCTCCTCCTCCTCCTCCTCCTCCTCTCCTCTCTCCTCCTCCTCCTCCTCCTCCTCCTCCCCTCCTCCTCCTCTCTCCTCCTCCTCCTCCTCCTCCTCTCCTCCTCCTCCTCCCTCCTCCTCCTCCTCCTCCTCCTCCTCCTCCCTCCTCCTCCTCCTCCTCCTCCTCCTCCTCCTCCTCCTCCTCCTCCTCCTCCCTCCTCCCTCCTCCCCTCCTCCTCCTCCTCCTCCTCCTCCTCCTCCTCCTCCTCCTCCTCCTCCTCCTCCTCCCTCCTTCCTCCTTCTCCTTCTCCTCCTCCTCCTCCTCCTCCTCCTCCTCCTCCTCCCATTCACAGCGGCTGAGGACCTTAGACAGGGCCGGCGCCGCGCCAT